TTGTTAAAGGTGTCAAACCCTTCACTGCTTTGGAACTGCAAATACATACAAATACTGTACAACATAGATAATGTTAATTTGTGGTTTTCTAAGTCAAAATGCTGGCCACAAGGGATCCCTTTTGATTTGAGTTTGATACCACTGGACTAGAAGACCTCTCAGGTCCCTTCCAGTTCAAGATCTATGATTCCTCTGATCACACCATCTTTGTCTAATTATACAGGGTGTCCCAAAAGTTTTAGTGTGGTCTTAAGCTTTAGCAGCTTGAAGACTTTTGGGACACCCCTGTATAGAGAGAAAGGACCTCCATTGAGGTGGATCCTACTGCACAGCCTCACCAGTGTGTGTAGGTGATCTGAGGCTCTCAAAGGAGCTGCCCTGGGAAGGAGGTTCTATTATTATCCCCATTTTACTGTTGAGGAAACTGAGGCAGACAGAGATGAAGTTACTTGCTCAAGGTCACGCAGCTAGGAAGTATCTGAGACTGGATTTGAACTCAGTGGGCACTAGGTTCTACCCAAAGTATCACCTGGCTGTCTCTAGCCAATTACCCATCGTATCTTGTCTTCCATAGTTCCACAACTTTTCTTGATGCCATCTCCTTCTCACCCAGCCACCATCTTGGTTCAGGTCCTCAACACCCTCACCTGAACTATGGCAATATATTGATGCCCACCTGCAATTAACTTTCCTACCTCAAGTCCCTCCTCTCTCCCCTCTCCAGTCCATTTTTGTTTTTTTTTAAATAGTGCTTTATTTTTTCCAATTACATGAAAAGACATTTTTAAACATTCATTTAAAAAAATTTTTGAGTTCCAAATTTTCCCCCTCCCTCCTTTCTCTCCTCCCTAAGACAGAAAGCAATTATATATAGGTTATAAATGTGTAATCATGTAAAACATATTAGTCATGTTATAAAAAGAAGGTACAGATTTAAAAAAAACATGAAAAAAAGTAAAGTGAAAATATATGCTTCAATCTGTATTCAGATGCCATAGTTCTTTGGAAGTGATAGCATTTTCCATTATGAGTCCTTTAGAACTGCCTTGGATCATTGTATTCTTGAGAAGAGCTAAGTCAGTCATAGCTGATTATCAAACAATGTTGCTGTAACTGTGTACAACGTTCTCCTGGTTCTGCTCATTTCACTCTGCATCAGTTCATACAAGTCTTTTCAGATTTTTCTGAAATCTGCTTGCTCATCATTTCTTATAGCGCCATAGTATTCTATTACATTCATATACCACAACTTGTTCAGCTCTCCCCCAGTTGATGAATGTCTAAGGAATTTTCTTTTCTTTTCTTTTTTTTTTTTTGGCTAGGCAGTGGGGTTAAGTGACTTGCCCAAGGTCACACAAGGGAATTTTCTTAAAGCACGAATCTGACCATGTCCCCTCACCCCCTCGGGGAAGTCCAGTGGCTCCCTCTTCCACCGAGGATCCATTATAAACTCCTCTATTTGGCATTTAAAACTCTTCCTGGCTTCTTTTAAGTCCTAACTAAAATCCCACCCTCTACAGGAAGCCTTCCCCAACACATCTTAATTCCCGTATGTGTTTTACAACTGCTTAGGTACATGAGGCGGCTAGGTGGCGCCATAGTGCATACAGTGCTGGGCCTGGAGTCAAGAAGACTCATCTTTCTGAGTTCAAATCTGACTTCAGACACTTACTAGCTGTGTGACCCTGGGCAAGTTGCTTAACCCTGTTTGCCTCAGTTTCTTCATCTGTGAAATGAGCTAGAGAAGGAAATGGCAAACCACATCTGTACTGTTGCCAAGAAAACCCCAAATAGAGTCACAGCTGAAATGACGCGTTGTTTTTCCTTATTAGAATGTAAGCTTCTTGAGGGCAAGGGCTGTTTTGCTTGTCTTTGTATGTCCAGGGCCTAGCACCTAGTGAGCGAATGCTTATTGTTTACTGATTGAGCAATGGATTGGTGACCACTGGAAACCCCTCTACGATATACCCAACAAGGGCCATCCAGCCTCTACCTTGAGCTCTCTGGTGAGGGGGAACTCACTGTCTCCCAAGGCAGCTACTTCCAATTTGGGGCAGTTCAAGTTAGAGTATTTTTCCTTACTTCAGGCCTAAATTTGCCTTTTTGCAACTTCTTGTCCCATTGCTCTGAGAGTTCTGTCTTCTGGGGCCAAAACAATGCTCATCCCTCTTCTATGTGACAGACTTTCAGATAGCTTGGCTTGGTCTTCTCCTGCCTGGGCTGGATCTCCCCAGTTCCATCCTCATATGGTGTGGATCTGAGGCCCTTCCACATTCTGGTTGTGCCCCCTCCCCCTCCCAAGCTTATCACTGTCCTTCTTAAAATGTCATGCCCAGACCTGACCAAAGTATTCCAGCTGTCATCTGACCAGGGTGAATGACAGAGGCCCTGCCATGTCACCTCCTTATTCCTGGAAATTATGTCTTAGTCCATATCCTGACTCTGGCACTTATATGATCGTGGATAAGTCAACCTCATCCAGCTTCGGTTTTTTCATCCATAAAATGGGGATAACAAATACTCATGGGATAACGCATACTTCACAGGGTTGTTGTGAGGTTCGAATGAGGAAATTGATGTGAAGACTTTGCAGAGTGTGGTACAATGAATGGCATGTCACATTGGGAGTCTAAGGGCTGGGTCTGACACTCATTAGCTTCATGACCTTAGGAAAATCACTCAAAGTCCTTTTGGTCAAGAGTTCCTCATCTGTAAAATGAGGAGATTGGGCTAGGATTCTGTGACCTCACCTGCGTGGGCCTCAGTTTCCTCATCTGTAAAATGAGCTAGAGAAGGAAATGGTAAACCACTGTAGTATCCTTGCCAAGGAAACCCCAAAATGGGATCACAAAACAACTGAACAACAATACCACCTGACCCTTTGCACGCCACTCTGGGCCACTTATTAACTGTGTGTCCTTGGCCAAGTAATTGTGCTTCTGAGCCTCAGTTTCCTGATCTGTCAAATAAGTATTTAAAACCACACCTCAGCTGATTCGAGAGTCCAGAAATTTGAACTCTTCCCCTAGAAAACTGCAAACACAGTGCCTGGCTTGTCCTTAAACAGGTCCTTAGGAGCAGCTAAGTGGCGCAGTGGATAGAGCTCTGGCCTTGGAGTCAGGAGGACCTGAGTTCAAATCCAGCCTCAGACATTTGACACTTACTAGCTGTGTGACCCTGGGCAAGTCATTTAATCCCATTGCCTAGCAAAAAAGAAACAAAATAAAAAAGAAAAAATGGTCAGAATGGTAAGACTAGTTCACAGTTCCGCCCACAATGCATTATATTTGTCATTTTCATTTTCTGTCATCTTAACCAATCTGATGGGTGTGAGATGGTACTTCAGAGTTGTTTTTACTGCTTACATTCAATTCAACAAATTAAACTCAAAAAGTATTTCTTAATCCCCTACTGTGTAGCAGGCACTGGGCTAGGAAGTGGAGATAAAGACAAAAGGGGAAACAGTGCCTACCCTCAAGAAGCTTATGATCTACCCGGGAGATAGCACATCTATAAATGGATAAAATGTATTGACTAAGAAATTTTAACTGGAAGAGATTTGCCAATAAATACCTGGGGAGCGGGGATGATGAGAGGCCTTATGGAAGAGGCAGCCCAGAAGATTCTATAATGTGAAAGGGAGAGAAAAGAGGGCCTTCCTGTCTCGGGGGTCTACTTGTGCAAGGACATGGAGAGGGAAGAGGGAATGTGGCCTCGGGGCTGCAGGTTCCCCACCCCTGGTCCAAGCTGTGTGAATGGAGAGGAGGGAACAGATTGGAGGGCTGCTGTTGAGTAGGGGTTCTTAACTTTTTGGTGTCATGCTAAGCCTTGCCATGTTCACCTGTATCCCTGGACCTGTGCACGAGCTCTTTCTCCCGTCTGCAATAATAGTAAAAATAATAGTTCTATACAGTTTCTATGTAGCTTTGTGACTTTCAAAAGCGCTTTTGTCTATAATAATTCATTTGAGCCTCATGAAAACCCTGTGAGGATAATTATCACTCCCAATTTACAGATGAGGAGACTGAGGCTAAAATGACTTTCCCAAGGTCACACAGCTAGCAAGTGTTGGAAGAGGGATCCAAGAGGGAGTCAGGTCTCTCCTGACAGCAGATCTTATTCAGTTGTTTCAGTCATGTCTGACATTCATGGCCCTATTTGGGGTTTTCTTGGCAGAGATACTGGACTGGTTTGCCATTTCCTTCTCTGGCTCAGTTTACAAATGAGGAAACTGAGGCAAACAGGGTGAAGTGATTTGTCCAGGGTCACACAGCTAGTAAGTGTCTGAGGTCAGATTTGAACTTAAGTCTTCCTGACTCCAGGCCCAGTGTTCCATCCACTGAGCCACCTAACTGCCCTGTTATGGAGTAAGCACTATATAAATGTTACCTTTTATCAGTTACTGTTGTCAGTAGTATCACTATGCTGGGGGCTGGAGAAGATACAAAATTTAGATGAGACATAAGTCTGTCCTCCAGGAACTTGCTGTCTAGTAGGGGATAAAACATAAACACAAGGAGCTATAACATGGACCAGAGAGGCAGGAAACAATGTGAGATTGAAGGGAGATGGTCATCGGCATTGTTCGGGGCAGGGTTCAGGGGGCCTTCTGGGAGAGGTTGGCTTTTGAGTGGCAAAAGGAAGAAATCAAGCAGATGAAAGAGGGACTGTTTTAAGCTCAGGCACCTGAGTGAGCAAAAGCTCGGAGGTGGGAAAGCATGAGTTTAAGGTTCAGAGTTGTTTGGTTGGCTCATGAGAATATCAGAAGGGGAATACTGAGGTGGGGACAAATGCCAAAAAAAACACCCTGCTGTTATATCATGGAGAGTCTCAGGTGTTTGAACTTGACTCAGCAGGCAGACGAGAGCCACTGGAAGTTTGACCAGGTCCCTCCCTGTCCTCATCCAGCCCAGTCCTCCCCCCCCCCAGGCCCCCCGACTCCTCTCCCTCCCCCCTCCCAGGCCCCCCTGACTCCTCTCCCTCCGTCTTCCTTCCCCCAGGTCGCACTAGCTTCTATGAAGAGTACGGAGTCATCCGGGACGTCATCCAGAACCACCTGACGGAGATCCTGACCTATGTGGCCATGGAGTTGCCCCGGAACTTCAGCGACCCAGAGGAGCTGCTCCGGTGCAAGCTGCGGACCTTCCGGGCCCTTCGGAGCCTGGAGAAGGGGAGCGCGGTCCTAGGGCAGTACCAAGCGTACAACGGGCAGGTCCAGAAGGAGCTGCAGAAGCCTGCCGGGTATGTGAGCCTGACGCCGACCTTTGCAGGTAGGTTTCCTGGCTGGGCTGGGGTGCCCTGGACCAGGAGCCAAGGGATCTGAGTTGGAATGCTTCTCTGACACTAACTCTCCATGAGTCATTGGACAAGTCATAGATAGCATCTTTGACGTTGAGCTGGAAGAACCTTAGAGGGTATCTCACATTATAGATGAGGAAACTGAGGCCCAGGGAAATGAAATGATTTTTCTCAAGGCCATATAGGTAGGAACGATGATGATTTGAACCCAGGTGGCACATGGCTAGAATGCTGGGTCTAGAGTCAGAAAGACTCCTCTTCCTGTGTTCAAATCTGACCTCAGACACATCGTAGCTGTGTGACCCTGGGCAAGTCACTTCACCCTGTTTGCCTCAGTTTCCTCACGTGTAAAATGAGCTGGAGAAGGAAATGGCAAACCACTCCAGCATCTTTGCCAAGAAAACCCCAAAAGGGGTCACAGAGTCAGACATGACTGCAAAATGACTTAACAAACCACCTCTGACTCCAAAGCTTTTTCCATTGTACCCTTCTGCCTCTCACTTGACACCTTTAGGACCTGTCTGAAAAATACAGGGACTTCAGTGGATGATCCTAGAGATATTTTTTATTTCCCCCCCTTTTTTCTTTAAAGCATGGTAAGGCTTATTTCTTTAATATATTGTTTTCAGTTAATAAGCATTTATTTTTCTCTCCGTCCTACCTTCCCCCTGCCCAGCGACATAAAAAAAGAAAAACTAAACTCTTGTAACAAATATATATATATAATCAAGCAAAACAAATTCCTGTATTGGCCATGTCAAAAGCCATATGTCTCATTCTGCATCTTGAGGCCATCGCCTCTCTGTCAGAAGGTGGGTAGCAGCTTCCTTATTGGTCCTCTGGAATTGTGATTGGTCATTGTATCTATCAGTCAGTTTTCTCAGCTGTACAATGGGAGAATAATAGCACTTTATGCATAGGCTTGTTGTGAGGGCCAAATGAGAACATATGTAAAGTACTTTGTAAACCTCAGAATACTATATTAATGCCAGCTGTTATCGTCGGCATTGTTGTCGTTAGGTCTCTTAAGGTTGTTTGTCTTGGCAATGCTGTGGGATTGTGTAAATTGTCCTCCTGGCTTTGCTTCCTTCACTCTGCGTCAGTTCTTATAAGTCTTTGCATGTTTCTCTGAATCCGTCAGTTTCATCCTGAAGGTATTTCCCAGCTCTGTGGCTCTGGCTTCTCAGTCCAGGGGCTGTTCCGATATGGCTGGCAGATAGGGCCGGCAGTGACAGCCACTGGGGATTTTCATGAGGACTCTGTGGGATGTGTGAAATTCCTCTGGGATGCCTTTATGGCTGACCTAGAGAGCCAGGTTACTACTTGGCTTTTTTCTGGGCAGTGGACATCCTTGATGGCAGTCTTCCCATACTGGCCCGATGAGGATGAACTGAGGCCAGTTGCACATCTTTCTGGGTCCTAGACCTGGTGGCCAGGCACCTTCTCACTCCCCAGGGGTTAGTGGAGTGGAGTGGAGGAGTGGCGTGGAGTGGAGGAGTGGCGTGGCGTCCCTTTGTTTTGATGACTGTAGGTGCCGGAAGCTTCTCAGCCCTATCTGGTCAGACTATGGCAGGTTAGTGGGGGATGAGCTGGCCAGGCAGGCTAGGTCACCCTCCTGGTGCTAGTAACCAGTACACTGACCTTTATAGTCCAGAATATCAGCAGCCAGCCATCCTATATACAAGCCACCTTCCAACCCCCTATCCCATAACCCTCCTTGTCTACCTCAGGCAAGTACTAAGGAACTATCATGGGGCAGTGGAAGAAAAAGTCTATGCTTTCCCTTGAAGGACCTTTGGCAAGTCATTTCTAGGGGCATTAGTCCTTCAGCACCAGATGACAACTCCCTTTAACTCTGTTGTATGATTCCATGACCCAAGATGGGGTTCTGGACTTGATGTCAAGAGAGACCTGGGTTCAGATCCCACCTCTGACACTAACTCTGTTGTTCAATTGTGTCCAACACTTCTTGACCCCATTTGGGGTTTTCTTGGCAAAGATACTGAAGTGATTTGCCATTTCCTTCTCCAGCTCATTTTACAGGTGAGGAAACTGAGGCAAACAAGGTTAAATGACCTGCCTGGGGTCACACAGCTAGGAAGTGTCTGAGGGCAGATTTGAATGCAGGAAGATGAGTCCTCCAGACTCCAGGCTCTGCACTCTATCCATTGTACCACTTAGCTGCCCTAATAGTAATAAGGAGCTAACGTTTATATAGTGCCTACTGTGTTCCAGGCATGGGGTTAAGCTCTGGGGATACAGAGGAAGGCTGAGTGCCTACTTGTGCCAGGCACCGGGCTAAGCTCTGGGGATACAGACAGAGGCATGGTGTCTACTGTGTGCCAGGCACCGGGCTAAGCTCTGGGGATACAGAGAAAGGCATAGACAGTCCCTGCCCTCAAGGAGCTTCCAGTCTAGGGGAGACAACATTGAACAACTCTGTACACACAGGCTCATACACAGGATAAATTGGAGGTAACCAGCAGAGGGAATGCTTCCTGCGGAAGGTGAGATTTTAGCTGGGACTTGAAAGAAGCTGGGAGGCAGAGGTGAGGAGGGAGGCTTTGCCAGTCCCTAGAGGCTTAAACAGGGTCCCGATGACCACTCGTTGGGTGTGTGGTCAAGGGCATCCCTCCCTGTTCACGTGTGGGATGGACTAGCTGGCCGCCGAGACCCTGAAACCGTCCCGAGATGATCCTGTCGGGTCGCATCCAAGATTCTCTCCCCTTGTTGTTTCAGGCGTCCTTCTTCAGATCGACAACCTGCGCTGGGAGGGCGTCCCCTTCATCCTGATGTCCGGGAAGGCCCTGGATGAGAGGGTGGGCTACGTCCGGGTCGTATTCAAGAACCGGGCGTACTGCACCCAGAGCGAGAGCCACCGGGACTCTGGGAAGAGCCAGTGCCAGCCCAGACAGATCATTTTCTATATCGGGCACGGGACGCTGGGCAGCCCCGCGGTGCTGGTCAGCAGGAACCTATTTAAGCCCTCGCTGCCTCCTGGGAGCTGGCAGGAGATCCAGGAAATGCCCACGCTGCACCTCTTTGGTCAACAGCTGGCTGATTTCCACGCCTACCGCCCCCGCCAGGAGAGAGACGCCTACTCCGTTCTGATCTCCCACATCTTCCACCGGCGGAAGGATTTTTTCATCACGACGGAAAACCTGCTGGCCTCCTGGGACGTGTGGACCCCGCTGCTGGACAGCATTGCCCAGGAGGTGCCCCGGCAGTACCCTGGGGGGGCCAGCAATGAGTACCTGCTGGATTTTGAGCAGGAGGGCAGCCAGGTGGTCTTTGTGCAGCGGCAGGTGGAACAGCTGGTGTCCGGCCCCGGCCCCGGCGCCGGCCCCATGCCTAGAGACTTCAGCGTCCTCCAGGCCAAGTTCCGGCAGAGCCCTCTCGTCTCAGCCTGGCCCGAGGAGCTGATCGCCCGGTTGGCGTCCGACATCGAGGTGGCCGCCGAGCGGGCCGTGAAGCGCTCCGGGGAATTCCACCTGGCCCTTTCGGGGGGCTCCAGCCCCGTGGCCCTGTTTCAGAGGCTGGCCACGAGGCACTACAGCTTCCCTTGGGGCCACACTCACCTGTGGCTGGTGGATGAGCGGTGCGTCCCGCTGACTGACCCCGAATCCAACTTCCAGGGTCTGCACGTCCACCTGCTCCAGCACATCCGAGTGCCTTACTGCAACATCCACCCCATGCCCGTACACTTGCACCGGAGGCTGTGCGTGGAGGAGGACCAGGGTGCCGAGCTCTACGCCAAGGAGATCTCAGCCCTCGTGACCAACAGTAGCTTTGACCTGGTGCTGCTGGGCGTGGGCACTGACGGGCACACAGCCTCGCTCTTCCCTCACTCGCCCAGCGGCCTGGAAGGGGAGAAGCTGGTGGTGTTCACCGAGAGCCCCGCTAAGCCTCACCAGCGCATGAGCCTCAGCCTTCCTCTCATTAACCGGGCCAAGAAGGTGGCCGTCCTCGTGATGGGCAAAAGGAAGAGGGACATCACCCTCCAGGTGAGCCGGGTGGGCCACGAGCCCAAGAAGTGGCCCATCTCTGGGGTCCTGCCTGCCTCTGGCCAGCTCGTCTGGTATATGGACTACGACGCCTTTCTGGGCTGATGGTGCCACCGGCTCACCTGCCCTCCCTCCCCGTCCTCCCTGCTTACCAGAGAACTCTGTGCCCAATGGCCGTACATTCCGATAGCCCCCAGGAGGGTAGGGAGGGGAGCAGGTAATAGCTATGAATTGGACAAGATGAGGAGCAGTCAGAAAAAGGCTGGCACTAATATGCTGCTATGTGGCCTTGGAGAAGTCACTGAAGTTCTCTGGGCCTCAGTTTCCTCATGTGTAAAATGAGGGGGGTGGGCTTGGACTAACTGATCTCTCAGGTACCCTCCAGCTCTAAATCTATGATGTGTGACTACTGTGGTCCCTTCCAGTTCTGAGATTCTGTGAAACTGATTCGAAGGATTAATTCAATGACTACTACGAGCAGGAAACCACCCAGCCCTTCCAGGGCCTGGAGATGAAAGAAACAAACCATTTCCTTTTATACCTCAAAGAGACTTTTCTTCTGCCTGGGGAGAGAAGATGCCTTCTGTGAAAAGGACGTACCACCATGTCCAAAAGAGCCAAGATAATATGGTGCCAGCTGAGCCAATGAAAATGGTGGTCAGAGCGGGGTGGGGCTAATCAGAGCTGGCTTCCTGGAGGAGGCTAGTTTTTGACATTGGCCTTGGAAAATGGACAGAGAGGACGCTAGGACTGAGTTCAGGAACCAGAAGTGAGCTCTTTGTTGTTGGGGAGGGGGCGGTTAAGTCAGTTGCCTTGTTTAGAACAGAATTCTCCCTGTGAAATGCTGAAAAAGGGATGGAGAAAGATGGTAGGCCACTGGTGGTCAGCCTGACAATACCTCATGTTTTCATCGACCTTAAAGGTCGACAAAGTACTTTACAGAAACCCTGTGAAGTAGGTGCTATCATTATTCCCATTATACAGATAGGAATCTGAGGCCCAGAGAGTTCAAGGCACCTGCTCGGGGTCACTCAGCTAGGAAGTGTCTCAAGCTGGTTTTGAGCCCGTCCTAACTCCAGGTCCAAGCACATTAAGCTCCACCCCATGGCCAAGAGAACTGAACACCAGCTTCAAAAACTAGGAATTGATGCTACAAGCCAGGCCTTCTCTCCATTCTATCAGCCAGGAGCTCTTGGCCTCTCTCTTATCTGGAAGGAGCAGCCACCCCTTCTGCCTTTACCTGGATCACCTGGGCCAGGGGAAGGCCATGGGACCAGCAGCCAGGCTGCCTCACATCACTCAGCCTTGCAGTATCACCCTCAACGTGCCTTCTCCTGGCAAATATTTCACTTTAGGGGAAGGAAAGGTCCAGGATACTTATAATGGACCAGGAATTCTGGGTCATGGCTTCATAAAATCTCAGGATTGTCTCCAGTCATCTCCAAGGGAGTGTAAAAATTTTAAAACAAAATTTTTTTTAATTCTCTTTCCTTCACATAGAGATAGTCATCTATAAGATAAGAATGTCAATCAACAAGCATAGACATATATGTATACACACACAAAGAAAAAAAGAGAGGAATAATGATATAGTGTATGTACACACACATATGTGAGTCATAACTTATAAAGCGGTGAGGTTTTATTAGCTATATCATCTGAATGCATGTGTACATATGTGTATATATGCATATATGTGCATACATGTACACACATGTAGATAGAAACATACACATTTATTTCTACACACATGTATGTATACATATATGCACATGCATATCTAGAGATACATATCTATATATTCACATGTATGTACATACACATGTGTATACATATGTGTGTGCATGCACACGTGCATGTATAGTTATATGTGTCTTTGCACACGTACATGTGTGTGTGTGCACATGCACATATGTAGGTATGTAAAGATATATATATATATGTATCTATATACATTCATTTAGAATTCCTTTCTGAGCATTGCAACACCAGAGAAGCTTTGAAATGCCTGGAGGAGAGAATCCAGGTGTATACAATACACACACACACACACACACACACACACGCCCTGGGGATGATGTCACAGCCAAATTCATGAGCTGGTGTAGTTTACACTTGTGTCCAGGCTAATCATCACAAGACCTTGATTAAGGCATGTAAGAGTTGTCTGAACCAGTACCCTGGTGTGAATTTCCCATCTACCCTTGCCCAGTGGACCTAATCAGAGCAGATTCTCTTATTCTTATTTCAAATCAAGATATGAGCAGCCTTGACAGGATCTCAGTTTCTAAGTTTGCTAATTGTTCTTCCCCATTCCCTCCTATGCTTTTTAGTTTTAGCTGTGATGTGGAGGGGGACCAGAGAATCTTTTTTTTTTTTTTTGAGAGACAATCGGGGTTAAGTGACTTGCCCAGGGTCACACAGCTAGTGAGTTATCATATGTCTGAGGCCGGATTTGAATGGACCAGATAATCTTAAAGCTTCAGCCCAGTCCTGATGTTCTAGGATGCTGGCATTACAAGCTGAGACCTTCAGATCTGGAACTCCATTTAGTCCATCCCATAGCTGGACAGGAAGAACCTCTGTAGCACCCCTAGCCAATGGTGGCTCATCCTTGGCTTGAGGGACCCCCCCACCCCATTTCACTTTGAGACAGTCCTAAATAGGAATTTTTTTGATGTCAAGACCTATAATGGCCACTTGGTGGCGCTAGTGCACCACAACTTATTTCCAAACTTCTTAGCTGGAATCAGAAACTACAGTGAGGGTGTCTCACACCCTCCAGAGCAGGCAGGTGGTCGAATTTCCAGAGACTACCGACCTAGGGTGGGAAGGGACCTCAGAGGTCATTGGGTTCAATCCCCTCATTTTTCAGATCAGGAAACTGAGGCCCCAGAACTGGAGGTCACTTGCCCAAGGTCACCCAGGTAGTAAGAGGTCCAGCTGGGATTTGAACCCAGGTCCCCGGGGCTCCAAACCCAGAGTTCTTCCAGAGCTGATTTTTCTTTCTCCACCCCTTGAAGGCAGATCACTCAGATCCCTTGGCTTGGAACAGGCATGGTAGGGCCCAGAATTCCTTTCTGAGCTTTGCAACACCAGAGAAGCTTTGAAATGCCCGGGAGAGAGAGCTGGGGCTCAGAGGTCAGTGTGTCAGAGGGCTTTATGAGTCATCATGAGTGGAGCCCAGCCTCACACTGCCGTTCTCATTCAGCAAATAGAATTTCTTGTCTCAAGATTGACTTATTGTCCTAACGTGTCAGAGGTTATCTATTGTACGGAAGAAGGGGAGATTAAAACACACACAAAAAAAAACCTCTACCTGCCTCATTGCTGGAGTTGAGCAGCTTTAGAAATCCAAGGAAAAATTTCTTTGAAGGAAGGTATTCCTCCCCCATGCGACCACTTCCCTGTGCCTCAGTTTCCTTATCCACAGAAATGAGGGGTTTGGATCTGAAATTGGAAGGACTATCTTTCCTTTTATTAATGGCATCTCCAATACTTAGCATAGTGCCTGGCACATAGTAGGTGTTTAATAAATGTTTATTAGATTGGATTCAAATTGTGCACAATAATAATAAATGAGGGAGAGTTTCATAGATGTAGGGGTAAAAGGTACAACCCCCTCATTTTACAGATGTGGAAACTGAGGCCCAGAGAGAGGTCTACTGGTGACTTGTTCAAGGTCATATGGGTAGATTTGAACCCAGGGCCTCCACCTCCAGTGGTTTTCCCACTGTATATAACACTGCTTCTGCTGGCCTATCTTGGTAGAGGCAGTTTCTTCACCAAGAGCACCTACCCTCTAAGGTCCTCTGGCTGGCTGACCAATAAAGTCCCTTTCTGTCCAAAATCCTCTGTTCTTACTTTAAGTTATCACACATACACATCTCTCCCCCTTTCCTTTCTCACTCCCAAGTTATAATGAAATCCAAGCCTTCTAGCCTTGTACCAGGACCATCACCAGGGATTCTTGTGGCTGGGGTGAATTCTGCTGAAGAGGAGATGAGCCCCTCAGCAGAGGGGCTTTGTTGTAACAGGCCCCTTGGCTGGGGTGGCCTGGGGCCTTGTGTGGCCTGTCACTGGAGGCCCTGCAGGCATAGGATGGATGGCAGTCAGTGGCAAGAACAGATCCCACCCCACATGGGTGCTAGATGCTGGGTCCCCTTGCCCACTCCCCGGTTACAGCTGTGCCCTGGCAAGCAGGCAGCTAGCCGACTTTCTCGTTTCAAAAGCATTTAGCAATACTTTTCTAAGACGCTTTGATACTCTAGTTGGCCAATCTGGGCTCTTAATTGTTCTCAGGTTAATCTTAAAACCCAGAACACAAGGCCAGGATTTTCGGTTCACCTGGATCCCCTCACACCTAACTGCTCCACTCTGTGACCACAGATTTTGCTTTTGACCCTAGCCAGCCAGGGAATACAGTCTCATACAGAAGAGGGTGGGACAGTCGGAAAAGCTAAACAAGGCATATTCCTTACTGATGGGGCATATCGATCATCATGATGAATGGCACCTTCCTGTTTGATGCCCCTCCCTCCCTGCCCACTGGATTTTTTAGCCAGAGGACCTGAGTTCGAATCTCTGATTCTGCCTCTGATACTTAATAGCTGTGCCTGTGATGGTGGCCAGATTATTTAAAATTTAAAAAATTATTTTAAATCTGTAATGCAGAGATCCTGCCTGGCTCACTCCTTGCCAGGGAAACCTGAGATCTCACCAGATTTCTTCTCTTCTAACCTGGTTTCTTGACCCCAGAAAATTGTTTCTCCCATGAAGAAGGGAAACACCATGGGGCAGTGGAGAGAAGTCTGCCCTAGAACCTGGAGAGCCTACCTCTGTCACCTGCCACCAGCCCCTTGAGGACAAGGCTCATTACGTCAGCCCCCTGTGCCTAGCAGGGTGCCCTGGAGTTGAATTCTGCCCGAATCTATGTCCTATCAGAAAACAAAGGGAGAATATGTTTCCCGACCTATGCCACTCCCAGGCTGGGGTGAAGTGATTAGCATCTGTAAGGCTGTTGGGATAAAGGGCAAAGCCAGATGACTGCTGCTATTTGGCAAGAAGGGAGGGACTTTCCCTGCTGCTCCAAGCTGCATTCTGATGTTGGGTCTGGGAGTGGATTCAGAGGCAACCACACATGGAAATAGATGGAGGCTGATGTGGTGAGATAGCTGTGGAGCCAGAGGGAGGTAGATGTAACCCTCTTCAAAACTCAGCTTTTTTGGGGGGGTGGGGGAGGTCTTTGAATCCCCTGTACTCGGCACACAGGAGATACTTAATAAATGCATGTTGATTGATTGATTGATGGACTTCTAGTGTCTGGATCAGTTAGGGAGCCAGTCAGTCAATTAACATTTATTAAGAGACTACTGAATGCCAGGTACTGTGTAAGTGATGGATTTCTAAAGAAAGGGAAAAGCATTCCCTGCCTTTGAGGGGCTCGCAGTCTAGTGGGCGAGACAAGAAAACAAATGTGTACAAACAAGATATAAACAGGATAAACTGGAAATAATCAGCAGAGGGAAGGCTTCCTGGAGAAGGTGGGATTTTAGCTGGTAGCTGACCTTTAACATGACTTTCTGCTCTAAATCTGTGATCCTATGTAAGCTGAAACCAACCAGTAGACAAATAGAAAAAACTGGAATATTATTGTATAAGGTACCACTACCTTGAGGTGGTAACCCATTGGAATGGAGTTGGCAAGGAACATCATGGGAGTTTTGCCTTTATGTTTTCCCAGCACAGGGCCTGGCACATGGTTAATTGTTTAATAAATGCTTGGTGAGGGGCAGCTAGGTGGTGCAGTGGATAGAGCTCTGGCCTTGGAGTCAGGAGGACATGAATTCAAATCCAACCTCAGACACTTGACACTTACTAGCTGTGTGACCCTGGGCAAGTCACTTAACCCCCATTGCCTCACCAAAAATAAATAAATAAATAAC